AACTTGGTATTGTATGATCCCATTGTCTCTCCTACGGAGCCTCATCATGACTGTCTTGCCATGCAAGGAGGAATTACTGCTGCCGCTGGATCCTCTGGTGGTCCCACCACACTAATTATGTGGTTGTGCCTTGTAGTTTATATAATTAACATCAAGTTGTTCAAATATCCCATTCAACACAACCACATAATTAGTGCTCATGTAATTAAGCTCATATCATTCTAAATAGCAGCACCGACATAATCCACGGCTACGATAAGCCAACATAAACATAAAACTTGCATCGTCCATGTGACATGTCCCATAAGAAATTAGGTAGAAGTGGGATCAATGTAAAGTTAAAATTTTTCATTGTGTGGTAAGTACCGGGTGGTGGGACACCAGAGGATCCAACAGCAGCAGCAGCAGCAGCAGTTCCTCCTTGCATGGCAAGACAGTCATGATGTAACCAAGGAAAAAAAAAATTTAAGAGACAGCAAACTTAATACTGAAATAACTCACTATCTCCACCAGCTGCAGTAGAATTCATGGCACCCGTAGTCAATGGTGTGGTACATGTAGTGCTGGACTGCAATTCTACCTCACAATTACAGGAAACATTTGGGGATCCTGAAAGTTAAAGAAAAAGTTAAAACGATAATATTCCATGATTAGAAGAATGTCAAAAATACTATAATAATGCAGCAAAATATATCCATACCTGCTAAATTTCCCGTTGACAGTTCAAGGTCCCACAACTTAAAGAAAAGTATCCATGTCCAATAATTCGCATGTTCCATCCTTGTAAACTTTTGAAAGCATGCACATAATGTGTGGAATAGGGGTGGAATCCGGGCCCATTTGTGGGCACAGAGGGCTGTGATGAAATCGCATATTATGTTAAAACCTATAAAGAAAAGGTGCATGGTTGGAACTTGGAAGGAAGTAGGGCACAGATAATCGCACCATCAAAACTTCTTCGAGCTTCTTTAATTCTTCCTTGAACTCTTGTTCTTCCTTTTCCTAAAGGCTTTGAACATGACAGTGATTCCAGGCTCCTCAAAAAAGGCCTTTGATTCTTAGAGTTGAAACTGCATTTACAATTAAAACAGAATATATAAGAATTTTAAAAGAATATAATTCAAGTAAACATCAATCATTCAAAACAATAAAGATTCAATCATTTATACGAAATAATTTTTTTCCCACAAATAAACTCTTACATGGTAGAGAAATAAATTCATCCATTATTACAACACAAATAAACAGATCCTAAACAGTAGAACCTATAGAAAATCCTCAAATAACATACAAGAAAACTGCACCCATAACAAAACATAGAGCAGTTTCTGGAAAAAAAGTTTGCTGCAGCCCTAGGCCAGGAGAGTAGAAGGAAGGTGAAAACTCAGCTGTAAGCACATGGGCTCATCACCTAGTCACAGGAGCTCCCTTTTAATTTTATTTATTTTGGGAGCAGTTTCTGTCATGAACGTCTCTATTGCTCTTCTAAATTTAGTAGGTTGTTTTTAGCATGTATTAAAATTGACTAATAACTATAGATTGCTCAGTTATAGCTTGAAGCTATAATCTATTATATGAACTTACTCAGCTTCATCAGCAGAGGTGCCCATGATGAGGTCAAGGCCTCCTTATCATGAGCAGCTTCCTTCATTTGTATTTGTGTACCTTCTTTGCTTGAGAACAGAGGTCCTTGAGTAGCCAGTGAAGCTGCTGACTGGCAGTAATTCTTGCAAGCCTCGGCCATAAACCCACCAATTGGGGGATGACTCGGAGTAGTGTGAGCAGTTGCAGGCTTTTGCCCCAACACTCTCCATCCAGTTCTTCCTCACTTTTTCTCTTCAAATCCTCTGCTCGCTCAAATGAAGTTCCCATTGCTGTCACATTAAAAACAAAAGAGTTAGCCCTCAAAAATTAAGGCAGCAAAGTGCCCTTGCAGCCCCAGGTGAGCTGGCAAAGTGCACCAAAATCCTTGGCCCATGCAAAGGTCCAAGTTGCTGTAGCAACAATTGTAAAATCCCCACTTCCCCAGAGCTACTTGAATTCACCATACCTCCAAAGGTACTTGAATTGACAGCAGTGAGACCCTCTAGTCCCCCTATTTGAATCATTTTAACATCGGGTCTGGGGTATGGTTAGGAATGTGTAAACACTGTTGCATACTTCAACATTGGAGTTTTAATTCAACTTGAAAATCAAATGGACAAATTTGATAAGAGACTGATTTGATCAAATTTGAAATCCAGGGAACTAATTTGAAATTATTTATAAGCTAATGGACTAAATTGCTGAAAAAAGCTGTAAATAAAGATGTTATCTTTGCATTTTTTTTATATTTAAAGATATTATGTCAATTTCTAAATAAAAATATCAACTTTTATTTTTTTTTTATTAACTTTCAAACCCTTTCTATTTAAAAATGTCAACTTCAAACTTCAAATTTTTTTTATTCAAGGATATTAACCTTTTTTAAAAAATTCATTTGCCACATTAACATCACCATCACCATCCAATTAATCCTTAAATAAAAAAAAAAAAAGTTAGCACACTTAAATAAAAATTATTAAAAGTTAACATGTTTAAGTAAAAAAGATTGAAAACATCCTTAAATAAAAAAAGTGCAAAATGTGCAAAATTGATACCCTTATTTACAAATTTTTAGATTAAGGAAGTAAACAATTTAAAATTAATTAACCATGATAATTAACTTAATTGAATGGTTAACTTAACATTAATGAAAATCAATTAAAGTTAATTAGTCTCTAATGAAAATAATTAGATAAATATAATTATTTTAATTAAAAGTAATAAACATAATTAATTTCATTAATCTAACATTAAATTAAACTAATTACCATAATCTATTTATTTATTTTTATATTATGTTTTATATTTTTTAGGGATTAATCCATTTTAGACGGGTCGGTTTGACCCGACCCAGAAACAGAACCCATCTATGAATGTGGGTAAAAACATATCAAATCTGAAAATGAAAAACTGAATTTTTAGCGGAAGGTAGATCCGGATCTGCCGAGAGAGATCCCAGCTCCTATCACCTCCTTCACTACCTTTCCTAAAAAAGGTCTGTTCAGAAGATTACCTAAAGCAAGAACACCCACAGATATGCTGCCCAAGCTCTCTTTTACTCTTTTTTTTCCACTTCCGGCAAGCAGAATCGATCTTCTTCTTCCTTTCAAAACCAGATCTCAAACATTCCTCCCTTCTCTGGTTGGTTGCTGCCCTTGTT